CCCCCCTCCCCCCATGATTCTAAAACAATGGCTCCATAAAATTCCTTGAACTGTCTATTGGTTCGAACCCGTTCATATTTTTTTAATACAGTGGAATCCTGTTATAACGAGAGGGAGGGGACCGGAGCAAAATGTCCGTTATAGCAGGATTCTCACTATAAGGGATCCAGTAATAAATTCAAGGGAATCTGTTAAGTAGGCCTAATCTATGAGTTTGGTCTTCTGTTTATTTGCTTTTTTGCTATCTTCCCTGGTGATTATTTTGATTCAACATGACCTCTAGGTCGTACTTGATCAAAAATCGAATCAGGTTTCTTTCTCTAGTGCTAGATCTAGCGATGTCGACTGGCAGCTCGGCGTTGGCGATCAGAAAGAAAGGGCTCTGGGCTATACTATTCTCTGACCGTCTAAGCTCTGGGCTAACTCACCCATTGATTTCCCCCTACCTCACCGAACCCTGTGGTGCATTCCGTCAGCTTGCGCACGTCACACATTTGCTCAACCCATCACATTGCTGTGACCTCTCCATCCCCGCATCGGGGAAGTGAGAGGCATGATAGGCCTTGATAATATAATCTAAATAGGCTTACGCTGGCCTATCACGCGATGCGTTCTGCTTGTCTGCGCATGCCACACCCTCCCTACTCAGTCGCTCCGGCCTTCATTGTTGACACACATGGGCTCTCCCATTCTTTGTTTCGCTAGATCACCAACAAGTTTCTCAACTGGCGAGGATTTACATATTATAATTGGCTTATACGATGTGCACAGCAGCAGAAATATTCCGCTATAACCGACTCGCGTGTTTGTCTGACTGCGTTATAGCAGTACAGTCCATGCCGGCTTTAAGCATGGTCATCGGGAGAAAGCTTAAGTGTGAAGTAGACATAATCCAGAGATTTTCATGTAGAAAATTCCCTGTGCTATTTCCCTTTGTTTGTAAGTAGGCCTATAGCGGTCCCGCAAAAGTGTGCACTGTTATTTAGACACCCGCCACGGTAGTTTTTGTTCGCTTGTTTTTTTGTTGTTTTGTGGTCGAATGGGAAATGAAAACTTAATTTAGACGGCCAGTCACGATACAGCACACTAGGCCTACTGTAACACACTGCCTGTGCGTACCACTGCCCGCTGTGCCACTCATACCACTGCCTTCATCCCACCTCGCGCGTGATACACAATCAGAATTAATGGATAGCGAGGGTCAAAGGTGAAATCGCAGCCAGCCTCCCTTTCTCGTCTCCCTGACTCTCTTTGTATTATTTTTTTGGTCGTGTGTAGCTTTGCCCTAGGCCTAGGCTAGATCCTATGTCCGCGCGCACGGCTGTGTGCATCTCTCTGCCTTCCTCTCCGCCCGTGTGAGTGTGTGTGTGTCCATCACTTGCGTTCTTTGTGTTTCTCTTGACACACTCCACTGCTGCGGTGTAAACTGTGTTCGAACTTCGATGGGTCATCGTGAAAATATTGACTGTCTTGTAAATGAAGCGTGCTTGAAGCCGAAGTTACTGTTCTTATAGGCGTGTAATTTATATACAGCAAAAATTCGGTAAGAGCCGTTTAGCGTGCTTGAGTCCGAAACGTGCTTAAGGCCGGCGTGCTTAAAGCCGGCACGGACTGTATTTTATTTACAAAGATAAAGAAGAGAAAAAACGGGGTTTTAGAATAGTGTCTTTATAACAGACTTTTCGTTTTTTCCGGACTCGTTATAAGTGGACTACACTGTAGGGGGGTTGGACTATGCCATCTTATGTAAAATAAGGGGAGCCGTACTAAGTGTTCCATTCCATTCTTCAATCTTGCGCTCGTGACTCGACTCGTGACCGAGCAGTGGGTTACAAACAAGCCATAAGGTGGTGACAGCGACAGGGGAGTGAATCGGGAATCAGGAGGCGATACTGTACCGCTGAAGTGAATCGCGTTCCGCAGGGAAGACTGGCGATTCAGTTCCGTTCTTGCGCTCGCGACCCAGCTCTACCTTTCGTTAAAGTCCACTACCCATTTGTTTACATCCAGAGGAGAAAGGAAGTCTTGATGACCAAATAGGCAACACAAAGAACAGGGATGCAACCAAGGAGGTTACAGGATGCCACCTAACTGAAAAACATCAAATTATGGTAAAATTCAAGGCCCTGCACCCTAGAACACCCCCCCCCCCCTATATAAAATTAGGTCAGGGGGGGCAAGCCGGCGAATATTAATTGGGATTGGGAACTGCCAAAAAAGGGCCATTCAAGAATTTTGATTTTCTCCTCAACAGTTACCTGGAAATTCAGGGTCTCTGACGTTCAGCTTTGGACTTTAATGAACGAAACTACAAAATCGCCTGGAAAACTATTTTAAGGCAATACCTAACTCATGACTCGCTACTCTCACCCCCCCTTCCTCCCCCCACGCCCCCTGACATCGACACTGATGTAGATCTAATTTTTTAATGTAATAATTTGGCCTGCTTCAAGCCTTCCATATTATGATATGAAGGAACGCTCCGCTCTTACAGAACAAAAGTCGGGATATGGGATAGGGCTATGGAAAATTACGATGCAGAATAATGTAAAAACATTTTTCGCCTCTCCTATAAAAAAATATGTCTCACTGCCCACGCTACTGCGCGAGATGTGGGACCGGCTGCTGGCCGGACCATTAGTTGTTTACACATGTAACAATTGCTTGCCTCTCTGCCTGCACACAATAAATTATAGTTCAAGGAACGGAGAGCGTGTACGAACGTTACGAGCACGAGACAAATGCTCTTGCACGACGGTAGAAGGGTTGTAAATTTATTCAGACCAAATGGGCGAGGGCGTTAAATCGTGTTAACTAGTTTTATAATTTAGCGATCCAAGCTCTTTTCTTCACACTTTCATTTTTTTCCCCCTTTTATTCTTTCTATTTTTCTTTTATCCTTGCTTCTTCTTTCCCCTTCTTTAACGTTTGGAGCCAAAATGTCAAAGGAAATTATGCGGGCCAGGTGCAATCCAAAAGAGCCAAATTTCTTGGATTTGGCTCAAAACTGCACAACCCTGGCAGTGACTTTTCGAACATGAACAGGATCCTGTGGAGCATCAGCCCTGGTAACCTCAGCCCTGATCCCTCTAGGGTCATTTCCAGTAAATCCAGGAAGTGAGAATAGCGAGACGTAGGTTATTCTCACCCCGGATGAAAATAACACTTCCTTTGGAATAATTCAGTGTTTCTAAAGTCAAGTGCTGCTGCACTCAACAACTGTAAAAGTAGGCCTACTCTACTCTCCCTCCTGACAGATTCTATGAAAGAGATAGCCTACCTCTAGAACTTGCGTTAAGTGATTCGACACATAATTAATTCATTTTGTTACCTCGATTATGATCACTATAGTAATTTTTGGGCTTATGGGGTTATTGGTATATTATCTTAAAGCCTCTATTCATTTGCCTTCCTTTTGGCGAAAAAAATATCCGTCTATTTTGAATAGAAGTCGAAATATTTGCGATTGAAGGAGGTCAGGGTCGCCTAGTTTCAGAAGTAAAATTAGCGAGAAAATGGCCGCCAAAGTTTGGTAACTTCCATAGCCAGAGAGTCCTAAGAAGCTGAAAATTTACATTTTTTGTGCCTGTAATCAATGTTTTTCAGTATAATACACACACAAGTCTGTTTTTAAATGGACATAAATGGTGTTGAGCCAAAAAAAGAAAACTAGAAAAAAATTGCCCATCTGCCCCCAAAAATGCCGATTTCTTTGATTTCACTATTTTGACGAGCGCCTGATTTCACCACGATGCCTCACAATTGTTTTCAAAGCTGGGAAAAGATTATCATTTTTTAAAAACTTTCTGTTTTTATTTTCCAGGTAATAAAACTTGGAGCCATTGATAATGCTCGAGTGGTGGTGTACACAGTGCCTCATTTCAAGTTTACAGATCAGGTAAAGTACAGGATAGACTGGCATGAGTCTTTGCTTATTTTGATGTCATAATTGTGTGTTCCAAGTGTTCTAGGAACAGTATAGTATGCTTTACAAGAAGTCTGAAATCTGTTGTAGTAGCACAGGGTAAGGAAGATGTGAGAGCTGCATTGCATTTGAGTCTACCCACTCGCGATAAAATTTGAGTGGGAGCCTGACAAATAGTTTGGATATAAATATGTATGTAGTAAGAAAATAGTATTGTTGCTCATTTTAGATTAACTTAAATTTCTTAAAGTAGAAAATGTTTCTTTGCATGCTCTGCTTTGTATTGGTTTTTCATGATATTTAATTATATTGGTTTAATGTTGCAATTTTTTCCCAAGGGTGCCTAAATACTTAGGGAGATTATGCCTTGATAATTTTTGTCTTTGACGTAAAGACAAGTTTGGCGGTGTACCTTGTGATTGCCTGAGAGAATTAATTTCCTCTTAGTCATTGGTTTTCATGCTGTGTGGCTACTCTATGGCATTTGGAGCAGAATTTTTATCCTTGCTGTGTCACTCATATGTTTCATTTTATTTTGGTATCTCAGCTTTTACATTTAATTGAAGTGAGTTGTTGTTTTTGTCAGTCCTGCAGTAATCTTTAGAGGATTTATTTTGTGTTGTCATGGGAATTTACCATAACGATATGATTACTGTAGAGATTATGTTGGTGCTGTTCATATTCATCTGATTTCATATTTTAATTTTGTTTTGGGTTGGGGTGGGGGGTGGTTTGTTGTTTGAAGCAGTACTTTAAGGTTTAAATATGCAGTTTAAGTTAAATTAGGGTGAGGAAAATTATCTTTTTTTTTTTCATGTCTATTTGCTGCACTCATATTCATTTTTTTTCCCTTCTCTATTTGGCCAGTATGACAGTTTGGCTCGGCTGCAGCAGCTGGTGCCAGAGATGGACTGGGAGATGGGTCTCCAGGTTTGGCGCCAGTTCTCTGAGTTCCCTCACCCTGTGGCGTCTGCTCCTGAGGTCATACCATCTTTGGAGGATCTGATAGATGTTGTGATTTCCAGACAACCACCAGCCAAAGATAAATCAGAGAAGAAAAGTCGGAAAGGAGGCAGGGGGAAGAAAAAAGAAAAGAAATGGGGGAAAGGCAAGGATAAAGATGGAGGGAAAAAAGTGGAAGGTGGGGATGAGAAGGAAGAGGTGAGTGCACAGGAAGGGACTGGGAAAGGTGGGGGTGGAGATGATGCAAAGGACAAAGACAGCCTTAGTGCTGTTGAGAACGTTGTGAATGATATTGTTGAGAGTGCGGTGAATGAGAAGCTTGATGTCCATAACAGTTGTACTGAAGGGAACACTGAAGGGAACACCACTTCTGACTCAGGAGATGGGGCCAAAGGTGATGCAAGTTGCGATATTGCAGAAGGGAACAAGGAAAATGCTGGTGAGTCAGCTGGGGCCGACAAGTCTTTCTCAATCCCTAGCCCGAAGACGGTGGTTATTAAGAAAGCTGATCCAAGTAGAGTGGAGCCAGAGATAGAGATAAAAGTCCTGGATCCCGGTCTCAGTGTCAACGCTTTCCCGACCGATGTAGATGATCAAGACCAGAGAGATGTGGAGCCAATGGACATCGATCAATCTATGAACCGTTCAGTTCTGAACACAAGTCAAGCCTCTTCAGATCAGGATAAGGAATCAAAAAAGGTCACTGATGATGAGAAGAAAGGTGTCAGTCTATCCATTGCTACAGATGCAAAGTCTGATGAACATGTTCTGGAGAAAGATAAAGATTCGCCTATTGCCGCTGCATGTTCTGCAGCTGTAGATGCAGCCTGCGAGTTTGCTTCTAGTGTCATTGAGAAGTTGAGCTCACCCACCCACTCCCCTCACAGAGACAACAACCTTACGCCTTTGTCTACCTCACCCTTCCAAAATCGTTGTTCAACGCCTCCCTCCACTCCTGTTAGGAATGTTGATTGCCTGGTCTTCTCTCCACACAGTAAGACAGGTGGTTCTGATGAGCTTCAGGGGACAGAAACAGAGAGCAAAACGGCAGACCAGTCAGCCTTCACAGGAGAAAGCAGTGTGGATCCTGTAGCAGAAGCAGGGAGTAATGAGAGCAAGGTTTTGCCTGTGTCGTTATCTTTAACATCTCTTCCACAACCTTCCGCTGTCCTAAGTAACACTGAGACCGAGTCTGGCTCCGGAGAGGCTTCTTCTGACGCCTCCAAACAACAAGAATCTCAAGAGACTTCCTCTTCCTCTCCCGTCAAGAAAGAGAGGGATCCGACAAAGCCATCATTTCGTGTGACCTGTAACCGAGTCGGGGAAGGCCATCCATTTGACTCGTCCTCAGCGGCTGCTAGTCTGGGCAGTTCAGTCATCACTTACTTCAGTTGGCCTGTAGATCTCAAGAACTTTGATATGGAGGTAAGCATGAGTCAGAGGTCTAGTACTAGTAAGCCTCAAACTTACAGGAATTGTTTGTTTGTTGTGATGGCATCAACTCTTTGGCAGTGAACTTTCTCCTGTTGTCTGTCAATCTGTTGACTCTTTTACCCGGCCATTCAAAATATCTTTTAATGTACATAAGTGCATCTTTTCCCTGTTTTGTTTTGTTTTTTTGTTGTTTTTTTTAAGCTAACGTTTCTTTATAATTTATGTCCCTGAGTATTTGATGATTAATTTTGTACCCGCTGTTCAAGTATTTTGGCAGTCCTTCCCCCAGAAGGGGGTCTGTGGGAACTTTGAAGTGGCCTACTCTTTCAGTGTTTGTACTGTCCCACTCAGCTCCCAGGCAAAACATTCTGGTTACATTGTATTGCACTGCCTCTTTGTAAACTAGGATTACATCTCCTTCCCCTGCTTCCAGTCATTTTCAAAAGTTTTTACTTATAGTAGTTTTTTTGACTTGGAACTTTGTCTCAAGTACTTCTTTTTTTTTAATATGCTAGAATTGTTCTCTGCCTATGCCTGTCTTCAATAGTTACCAATATGAAAACATTTGCTGTCTGTCTGTTTTGTAAAACAGAAATTTTTTATTGTTTTTTAAGTGTAAAAAAGTGAATCATATCATTTGAGTCTCGTAAATTGTTCCAAAAATGTTTGAGCAATCTAGTTGATAAAGATTTACGAATCTATAATTTTTATGCTAGATGTGTGCCTCATCAACACATTTTTGGCAGTTGCAATGCTTTTGACGAGGGGCCAAGTGGTCCATATAGAATGTTAATGTCTAATCTGTTCCAAGCACAGTTAGGTTTACAGTAGTCTCCGCCTAAACGCACGCCATACAAAAGCACGCTCCGCTCAAACGCACGCTTTCGTCCTCAGACATTTTTTTTACTATATAATTTAGACGTACAAACGCACGGTCACTCCCCCTAAACGCACGCTCCAATCTGCGAAACATGCTGACAGGTAAAGCTTGACTAATGGAAATTTCATTACGACTACTGTACGATCTGCATAGCTTGCTTAAGACAAGCCTAGAAAACCGGATATTTTGCGAGACTGCCTCTTACGCCGAACAAAGAGAGTGATGGACAGCATTTTCACACACAACTTTCCAGACACATAGGTCTAGGACTGGTTGGTGATATGTTGTGGGGTTGGGGGACTGAAACGTTTTTTGATTGGTCACTGGAAATGCATCTCTTTGAGAGAAGGTTTCTGACTGGTGTTTGAGTGACTGCATGTTGGCTAATGTTTAGTTAGACCTAAGCCTATGATGCGCAACACGCGTGAATGCTCGTTCATGAATTTACGGTCGGGGGTGGTCGCTTGGAAAGCCATGTGGCTGGGCCGTCGTCTCTATGACTATCACCTACAATTTCTTTTTAGGCTATTGGTTCCCGACATTTTATGGTGCATTCATTACATCGAGTCTGTCTT